TAGGTTTACAAATGGTTTTCGCAATTTGGATTGTAATGGCAATGATACAATGGTAATCTGGACACCTTGTGACCATTTGTATCGGCATAAACATCAAAGATGATAAAAGTTTTTTTCGTAAATGTTGATTTACTATACCGGGTATCGTTTTAGTGTGTTGTTTATTGATATTTCAAGCAATTTAATGAAATGTTTAAATACTTGTGATCCGTGTGATATAATATCACACTATATAATAATTCTATCTCTCAATTGTTAACTGTAATTGCTCATAACGGTCAGCGCTTTATAATAAACCTTGAATTTTGTGTAGTAAATTGTCCTTGTGAGCTATTCCTTTTTATTAGACACAATTATTATAAACAACTCGTATTATATGTGAGTTGGCCCTAATAACACCGATTTTGGGCAACCGAGCAAAAACTTCAAAACAAAATTGCGTGACTATTCTAATATAGAATCTTTTTATATCAATTTCGAGGTGTAAAATGTGAAATACATTCAAGTGAATATGACACTTTCATCAAAATAGCTTGAAGCCTTTTTTTATTGGTATTTATATCTGTTATTTTATTTTCTATAGATATGAATGGAAACAGTAATCAGGACCACGTTAGAAACTTAAATTAAATCAGGATTTGAATTTATTTAAATCATAACAACTTTAGTTTTAATAAAAAAATTACCCCACTCGACCATTCACTGTTGGGTTCTAATTAACAGTGCTGTTCCTAAAGTGGCGCTGGGAAATAGTAACAAAGCCTACACAGAACACGAGGCGAAATAACCTTAGCAGTTGAAGCCGATGACAAATTAACTGAAACATCTGATAGTCTGACATTGTATTCTCTTTCGTTTACAAAAGTATGTGCTGAGTGCGTTGGTACTTAAAAATAGTAATAGCACAGCTTATACAATATACAGCTCCACAACTCCGTGTCGGCGTCTTTGATCTGGCGGTCGAGAACCAAGCAAGACGGAATGGTGCTATCTCTGTTAGATTCGAGGGAAAAGTCGGGCCCGGATTAAACAATTTTTTTATTATTGAAAAAATTGAAAACCTTGGCGTAATAAGGTTGATTACATGCCATATTAAGTAAGTTTTGGGAAATTAAATTTTTAATTTGTTTTAAATCTGTCAAATATAATTAGAAACATTATTTAAATATAAATATTACGAAAAATAGCACATCTTTCGGATTAGAGGTAAAATAATTTGTATGTGGCTAGTAAAATCCTCGTTAACAAATGTTTTGAGCCAAAACAGTCACTTCACGACAAATTGTGGCTTGGATCCTTTTTACACCAAGGGCTTCAATTGTTAAAGAATTGTGTCACGCTCGTAGATGCAAATCAAGTGGTACCCCGTGTCTCTGGCAAGTGTTACTCTTCGCGCAAAGGGTTTATACCTAGATAAACGAATGCTTCGACTGAGGTCTGGGAACTCTATGGTATTTTGGAATTATAAAGAATTTGTGCTTTTATTTTAACAATATTGGTTATATTTAGATGTATTCATATTAATTGAAATACAGATTTGTAGAAGTAATACTTTGACAGTTTTTATTAATATAATATATTCAATTTTTATCTGACCATACCGAAGTAGGGAATTTTGAAACTTTATAGTAATGTGAAATTTGAATTACAATATTACACGATATTACATAATTAGTACTTATTTTAGGTAGGTACTAAATTTGTACTTGGAGAAAGTAATATCGATATTTATAAGAAAACTTGAAAAGTAAATTAATTTAGTTCCTATTTCTGATGTAAAACTTAAGTTTTGGTTTAAACCAGGAAAACAAATAAATTATAGTTTGTTCAACAAGGGTGGATATGATAGCAATATCACACAAAGACGAAGTTTGAGCACGACGTCGTATGCGGAGTACTCAATCATCTGATTGTGATATGAACAATCCACTCGATATGGTCAGTATATTTTTTCTACGACCCACTAACGAAAATCTACAAATTTAAAAAATTATTTTAGGTTATTTAGACAAAATAACTAATTTTAAAATAATTTACGAAGTTGACTAATTTATAAAATAAAATTAACATGAAAAATTAATTAGTCCTCGGCCTAGATTCGATCCCGGGCTTTTCGCGTGGAAGGCAGATGCTCTGTCCTCATCTTCACCGAAACTTTCAGGACTTTAGTTTTAATACTCGTAATTAAATTAGTATCATGTAGTTTGATTAAAATTTATTTTTTTTTAAATGTGGACACAATAAAAACAAAAATGCTATTATTTATCGAGTCTACACAAAAATTTTAATGTATTTTTAATATCAATAACTAAAATATATATTGACAATTAGTTTAACAGAATTGTCACTTATTTAAAAAAATTTAAATAATAGGAGTTGGGTGACCAAAATATGAACTGTGATTTGTAGATTTAATTTTGTTAAAGAATTCTCACTACCTAAAATGGATATGAAATATATTCGTAGTTGAACGCAATAACATACTTTTTCGTTTTGTAGTATGTACATAGATTGGCTAATATCCATGCACAGATTACAAAACGAAAAAGTATGCTATTGCCTTCAATTGAACGAATATATTTCATATCCATTCTAGGTAGTGAGAACACTGCAAAAAAATAAATTCGCCAATCACCGTTCATATTTTGATCAACCGACTGCTATTATTTTTAAAATTTTAAATAAATGACAATTCTGTCAAACTAATTGTCAGTATATTTTTTAGTTATTGAGATTAAACATACAATAAAATAAGTTATTCTTTTGGAAAACGTTAGCATGGATGACTAAAGGGTATTGGGTTAATTAATTCTAAAAGTGTGGTACAAATGTTATTTTTTGTAGCCAATTCTTCAAAATTATTTTGAAATATCTTTTCAATATTGAATATTAGTTCTACAAATTCATCATTTGACAGTTGCAGATTTCCAAATGTATCTGGATTGGCGTTATCATATGCCTTTAAAAAGCAATAAAAAGAAAAATCATCTAATTCAACGTGATCTTTGTTATATTTAAGACAGGTATCGCAGAGGAGTGGATCCGCAAGGCTTTTATTAAAAGGTAACCACACACATACCTGATAAAATTTTTCTGTATCAATTCGTCTTTACAATAATTTAGGGTGTTAATAATTTTATCATAAAATAAAATACAAGGTGTTCCATTTAAAAAACACACATTTTAATTTGCCAGGCAAAAACGTGACACCCTGTATATCCAAAGATATTTTTAAAATATGTAGGTATTTTTCAAATCCGTATAACTTTTATTTAAAACTTTCTTGCGTGTCTACAACAAAATAATGAACAATAACGCACTAATGGGATACCCTGTATAAATTATATTTTTAACAATGAAAATTTCTTATAATGTGGTACTTATCGGTTTGGGTCCTTGGGAAAACTAAAGAATGTTTTCTTGCAGGTATAACCCTTATTAAAACAGCTTTTGACTGCACAAACAGAATGATGTCTTTTTTTTTCACTCATTCTACTCATAGCTAAAGAGTCACCAAAATAATAACAGTACCTTTAACTCAAACAAAATCAACGAAATTATAGGCTCCACGAAATTATACAATCAACGAAATTATAGGCTCCACGAAATTATACAATCAACGAAATTATACGCACGACTCAACACCTTACCTAAGTACGCTTCTGAACACCAAAACCGTCTTTTCCCTTCGAAGGCGGAGCTTAAGCGATGCGCGACGAAATCGACGCAAACCGTTGCCGCCAAGAGAATATTTTAGCTGTATTGTTAAGCTGTGGTAATAGTCTGTCTTCATTTCTCCCACTTATATAATATAATCTCTCGTCGAAAGTAAGTCTTTAAGGACCGATTCCACCGTTGTGTTAAACGAAGTTTAAAGTGACATTTTTACATTAACAATGTCATTTTAATCTCCGTTTAACACAATGGTAACAGTTGTAAAAATAACGTATACAATTAATGCATCATTTAATTTAAACTAAGGTATGTACCTAAGCTCTCGAAAGAAACAGAAGCCATGAGCCATGATGAATCCAGAACCAGGAAAATCACCTCACGAAATTTCATCATGCAAAACAATTTTTTTACTTCCTCTAATATCATCGACATTATGTGAAAAATTGCTCATAATATAATTGAAACCAATAATAGAGAAGAAAAAGGTAGGTATATTTTCCAAGAGCCTGGAAAACACATATCATTATTCATATTACTAAAAATTTAATTTTTTCGACATTAAAAATTATTGTATCTGTCCCTCACGAATCCAGTTTGAGTCCTTTCATATTCCTAATCTATTTGCTTGAGAAATTAATTTCACATGATTCATATTAGATTACGTTATTAGTTTTAGGAACAAGACGAAGCGAAAAATAAAATTGATTCAGAAACAGAGGCTGGTAAGAATAAAAGTACTGAAACTAGGAAACGAAAGTTAAAAGGGACAGAAAATCTACAACTAAAGGAAAAGCAAGTTAAACAAGACAAAAGCAAAGTAAATACAAATGAAAAAATAAAAATAAGATAAAAAAGCGGTTTCAACTCTACTGAAGCCTTAATAACCAATACTCTATAGCAGTGGCGGCTCGTAGTAATTTAAAATGGGTGTTCACAGAAAGCATGACTGGCACTACACTATAATAAAAATAGAAATGTTAACATTTAAAGCATGATCATTACTGCTTACGAAGACTGTTCCAAAACAATATAAATTAATATTCAATCCATTTACTAGTTCAAAAAATTTCGACTGTATTTACTCCAGTTATTAAACATGACACCAACGATTTCTGCATTCTACTTTTGAACATCAAAAAACTAACCGAATAACTGCATTTGTTCGATATACTTACGCCCATTAAAAACATTTACAAGCTATTGTTTAAAAACTCGCGTTAAGAATAATAATTTTGCAGGTCTATTTTGAATACAAATATGCGAAGTGTTTAATTAAATTGCCATTGAATCGTTAACTTGACAGGTTGCAAGTTGGTCGATTTAATATGAGGGTACTAGAAGCATTGCTGATTGTTTGTGTTGTACTTTTGACAGTTTGTAGTGCTAAAAGTGATGGTAAAGGAACTAAAGGAGATATTGAAGATGGAAGAAAGTTTATAGGAAGAGTATTAGAACAAGGTAATAAATAATTATAGTTTTCGTAGTAATTTTACAAACTGTCAGGACCGTTTTAAGATATTTTGCACACATGGTATGCTAATAATAAAGCACTTTCCTTTAATTTCACTTCAGCCATCAAACAATGATTTAAATGCAAGCAAAAATACCATCTCAAAAATATATATCATCAATTTCTTTACAATAGGGTTGATTAGAAAATTATTCTTGTAAATTTTATAATACAATCTTTTCTAAAAGAATCTTAAGTAAATATATCGTTTCTTGATTCTTATTAAATTAAAAAAATGGTTATTATAAATACTCCTAACTAAGATGAACATTAAAAATAGCTGCGCCTATAGAGTCGCACCTAATTGACACAACATTGGCATTCTACCCCATTCCATTTAATTGCAACCGAGATCTACAGCTATATCTGTCTGACATGAATGTTTACATGTAAACAAGTGCTTATTTATAAATTAACGGATTAGTTCAGTAGTTGGTACTTACCTATTTGAAGAAACAACCAAAATAAAAAAAAAAAGAATCACTTTATTTCTATTTTTTTTTTTAATTAAAGTATTTATTTTTAAATTAAATCTCTCCCTTTCAGGTCGAACCTTGGTCCACAACACCTTCAAACGGTTTATGATTCTCCTACCAGTCATTTTTTTCAAATTAGGAATAGCCTTCACGATGCTGCTCCTAGTCACCATAGTGTCAGTCAACAACGGTTTCATAGGCTTCCTCCTGCTGGTTGTAGGTCTGAGTAGCGTCCTAGCAAGGCTTCAAGAAGCAAGGAAGCCTTCCGTAGTGCCATACGTCAATCCTCCAGTGCCTTACGTTAATCCAGTGCCTGTTTACCCAACCAAATATATTCAGGATTGGGACAGAAAGGATAAAGGAATAGAAGGGAGTGCAACGCAGGCTTATAGCCAAATATACGGGTCGCAGTATGGTTATCCCCAACTGAGTGGATATTATAAACAAAATAGTGTGATTGGTTAGGAAATAGTTGAAGAATATATCCTTCTATGAAGAATATACAGGGTGTAATGCCGTTATCAGGAAAAGATTCATCTTTCTATCATATCTTTAATTTTTAGGCATCATTTTTCATCCTTCCTTTACTCTAACCAATACAATTTAAACAGGGAAGTATGACATATTATTTTATGGAGAATTTAGCAATTTGACTAATACATAATTTAGTTTTCACTGTTTTGTTACAAATATTATAAATCTACATTCTCAGAATGTTCTAGTTTTTAAAGGACTACTGGCTGATCTTCACGCCGAAGGGCTAAAATGTAAATATTTGTTTTTATGACCTTGTGGAGCTTTATTAGACTATTGTAGTTGTTGTGTAGTAGGTCGGTATTTGATGTGTATGTATACTATATCTGACTTTAATTATATCCTGAAAAAGCGAGCGAAAAAACAGTATTCATTAAGTGCCAGGTTGTTCGTTATTATCTATGTTTTAGAACTGTACACTATTCGTAGACTGCATTCCGATTAAAGATATACAAATGACAGTTTACCGATCTGACGCCCCGCCCACCCGTTCAGTCTACCAGCTGACCAGAATCGACTATATGACTTCTAATTGCATTACTTTTGATTTTATCCGACAGAGCGTATCACGCGATTCAGACAAGGACTGTGCAACTGACTGACTAACCACCTGGGGGAGAAGGTATCTCCAGTCGCCAAGTAGGAGACTGGGGGAGCTTTCACAGGTGGAGACCTTCACAGAATGTGCACACACAAGACAAACAAACGGAGGACGAAACAGGGAAATGCCCTCAGCAAACCCTGTCTAAATGCTGATAATATGTCATCCTTCACAGCCTTTTTAGAAGGAATGGCATACTAATCATAGGATGGAAAATTGGGGCCCCCTGAAGCGAAGTTTATCAGGGGGGGGGGGGGGGGGGGTGGTGGACGTCAGGAGGGTTCTGATCCAATTTAACAGGATGGAAACCTTCTCGACTTGGGCTCAATTACTGTGTGTGTACTTTTGATTTTAACTCCCTTTTACGCATTATAAAATGTGACATTTCGTTTAAATCATAGAATATTTTATTTATAAAAATTGTATAGTGCTTTCTGCCGTTATTCCATCATTGAGTAATAAAAAATCGATTTAGTGTAAAATTAGGTGACTCTTCAACTAGAGTCAAAGGGGTTCCAAAAATCAAAACGATAAACCGTAATCTAACAAAAATTTTGGAAAACCGACGTCATATAATAGACATGTGCCGAAAGAACCTAAAATTTAGACTGATTAAATAAGAAAATATTTTTATTTTTATTCCAAAATGCACGATAGAGTGAAAAATTTGATAATCACTGACATTTTACATGAACAGTGACATGCTGTCAAAGTTTAAATCGTTAAAGTGATTCACAATATGAAAATGACACTTATAAGTGACCAGGTCAGCAAGGAATAAATTTACTTTACAGAGTGATGTGTCGATATATTTGTGCTATTTAAATCTATGTAAGACAACATAAGTTTTATTTAATTGTACTTGTATATTTAGACATATTAAGCAATTCTTTTCAAATCCTAGATGTGAAAACTAATTTTATTAGTAATTTAATGAGCAACAAATTTGTTATTTTGGTTCATTGCTATTAAAGTTTAAAATTTCTTTATTAACGATAAAGCTGTGTAAGTTTTTTTAATTATTTAAGTTGATGTTTCATTTAATTATGTTTTGTTATGTTGTGCATTAAATTATTTATAAAATCAGCTTCCAAACGAAGTGTCTCAGTTTACAATTTGTAACAATTTTTATCCTGCTAGAGGGCGCTAAAATCAAAAGTACCACAATGAACAGTCATATATCTAAATTTCCTTCTTAATTGTAAGTCATACTTTGTGTTTTCCCTATTTAAATTGTATTGGATAGTGTGACAGAGGGGAGGGGAATGACGTTTGACATTTGATAGAAAGGTGTCTTCCTTGGAATAAAAATCTACCTGTATTGAGCAATTTTTAATATTCTTTTTTATTAGATGAGAATTTTTTAAATTGCCATTTTCAGGGAAAGAAACTTTAAGGCGTGTAAAAAATTTATCATTTGTTGTTGTTTTACTATTAGGTATTTCGACGACATGTTAAAACGTTGCCAGTGGGAACTGACAGTTTAGATATGGCAACCCTGTGGGCCTGCTGTCATTGAAAGAGTGATATATAGTTATATAGATTGCTCTAAGAGGCCATATTGCTTGGCAAGTGTTCATTAATTTGAATTGGTTTAGCAAAAATCTGTTTGAATAGTGAAATAAAAATAATTACCTACATTTTACTTTCAAGGCATATGCTTATGTTTATTTTTAAACACATGGATGATCAATCTATGTAACTACTTAAATAAGTGATCCTGTCAAATCAGCAGGTCCACAGGTTGCCATATTATAACCTATCATGTGTCTGTCATTTCCTACGGGTAGCTAATTTATTTAGAATGCCTAATTTTCTACCAATATTGATTTTAAACATAGTTTTAGTCTTGGTTCTATTTATTTATATTTTTAATTTATATAATTTATTTTTATAATAAAGAAGAGATCTGTTGTTACAAATTCGATTTTATTTACATTTTAATGTTCAGTTTAGACCACATAATAATGTTTAGATTCTATTATTAATATCCATATTTTTATGGTTATAAAATGCAATCAAATCAGTTAACTAAACAAAAAAAAACTACAAACAATTTTTTTCAGATGAGACGTTCTGTATGTTAGTCGATATTTTAATATATTAAACAGTTTACTATTTTTGCTTAGTTAAAACAAAAATGTGACGCAGCAAGGGTGGGAATTAAACTAAAAAAATCCATAGGCGTGCTTCGTTACTGAGATACAGGGTGAGACAAGTTTGATTTAATTTTTTGATATTCAGCAGAGGTTTATAGAAGAAAAGCAATCTTCTTTACATTTCAATCTTATTAAATATATCAGAAACTTTTTCATGTAATTCTTTAGTAACAATATTCACTACCAGCGAATATTTTTATTCTTCATTACACCTGTCAAAAAAAATAAAAGTGCATGTATTATTAAAATTGTATTAAAAATAAATATAAATTTGCATTCACTATTACATTCACAATTTCCACGCTATTTTCTTCGTCTTTTTCTATTTACATAGGCACCGTACTCTTCGTCCCCGTGCCACCCATAGTGCGCCATAGCCACATCATTTCCGGCGTACCCTGTATCGAGGGAATGATGTGATACTCCACCGGGGTTCCTTCTATTGGAGAACATGTTTATGATCATCAGGATCAACCCGATTTTACCGATAAAAGCGCTTTTCACTAACATATGAACTAATGACATCAACATCATTGGTACCATTGCCGAGGATATCAAAAATGGCGTCACCATCAACGGTAGAATTCTTTGTATGAAAGATTGTTGATTTTTTTTACCTTTTTTTCCATTTGAACCACCAATATTAAGATCAAGGCCGAATTTTTGACTAGGATTTGGAATTGATTCTTGGTTTTGTTCGGTCAAAGTATCTCGATCAATTTTTATTTGCTTTTTAGGAACTTTTTTGGCTGTTTGGTTTGGAATGGCATTTCCTTTTAGTTTTTTGGTACTTCTGGTGGGTACGTGGGTTTTGGTTTTAAGATGAAATTGAAACGGTTGGTAGATAATATGGGATGATTTGTTTTTGGTGAGATCAGTCTGGTTTCTGGAACCTGTAAAAAAATAAGTAAATGTAGAACATTTCAAAGTACTGGTATATTTAAAAAGCTACAAGAACATACTAACAAAGTATGTTTTATAATTGTTGTTGAGAAAACTATAAAATATATTTTATAAGAAGTCATTTTGTTATCAAGGTTTTTAGAATATTTATACGACAGTAGTTAGGCGTGTTCTTTTATTCAGCGCCGTATCCAACGCTTGCAACAAACCGTTCGTAAATTAAGAGCAACCAGGTTTAGTTTTTCATCTGATTTTCATGAAATTTTTTTCAGTTATTAATCAATATTTATTGCTTGGGGCAGAAACAATCTTTTTTTTTTTTTTTTAATTTTCCTTTTTTTATTAAGTAAATTTTTGGAAATATTTCGTGTGTGTGTGTGAACACCAAATTTCAAACTTAAGCTTTATTCGCGTCCAATAAATTGATTAGATTTTGGGCAGGGTCGGAACATCTGGGGGGTACTTTATTGGTGGTCATTTTTATATTTTATGGAATATATTTGTTATTTATGTTTGGAGAAGAAAATTCTTCAAATAAAAGTTACTTACAATATTTTTATAAATATTTTTTGTTCTATACCAAATTGTCCTAAAATGGTCCGTATTCGAGAAATTTGACAAAATGTAAAAAAATAATTTTATATAAAAATTGTTCAAATGAAAATTGTTTGTAATATAATTTTCTATAATTTTTCTAAAATGGACCGTATTCAAGATATTTGAGAAAATGTGTAAATTTCGAATTTTGAAGAAAACTCAAAAACAGATAAAGGAAAAACCATTAAATTTTAAACTTAAGTTTTACTTCGGCTTAACGTGAAACGATTAGATTTTGGACAAAGTCGGAACATCTGGGGGGTACTTTATGAGAGGCCGTTTTTATATTTTATGGAATATATCTGTTATTTATGTTTGGAGAAAAAAATTGTTTAAATAAAAATTACTTCTAATATTATTACCTATAATTTTTGTTATATGCCAAATTTTTTTGAAATGGTCCGTATTCGAGAAATTGGTCAGAATGTGCAAAATTCGAATTTTTAAGAAAATTGTTAAACTAAAAATTGTATTCGATATCGATCTCTATAATTTTTGTTTTCTACATGATTTTTCTAAAATGGACCGTTATAGAAAAATTGGAGGAATTGGAGGAATTCAATGAATATCTATAAAAAAATGTTTCGAGTTATATGTATGTGGAAAATGTATATATTTAGTTTATCCTCTAAACATTTATAGAGGTGCTGCAATAGGTTGTACAAAATAACCAGAAAAAGCCTATAATAACTAGATAGGAAAGTCATGTGTTGGACACATCAGATTTTTAATTAAAATTGACCGCAAGGTGCTGCTACCACTCTGCTATTCGCGATTCAAGCTAAGTGATACGCCCTCTGGAGGAAATTTGTAGAAGGTCCGAATAAGTAGGATATCGTTCAGTGTTGCCAGAAGTAGCAAAACTTCGCTACGTCGTCGGATTTTAGCTCTAAAAGAAGTGGATAAAACCTTTTATTTAAGAATCAAAATTTGTGTATGTTATGATAATCTATATTTATTTAAGGATTTTTTTATAAAACCGATTTATTATATTGATTTTTTTTAAATTTCAGTTCATTTATTAATTTTGTTTTAAAATCAGTTCATCATTTGGCAACATTGGCGTTCATGTTCATTGTTTACATTTTAATTTGTATCAATTACAAATAGTTTTTTTTTACTTTTTAGCTTTAAATTTGTTTTTTTCTTATAGCATGTGATAGTGTTTATATTAAAAATGAAATCTGTGACGAAGTCCCCAGAAAATTGCAATCTATATGGTGTTAATGTCAAAATCAAAACTGAAGATTCATTATTTTCCAAGTACAAGTCGTAAAATTTTGTTTTTTACGATAAATGGATATCTACAAATTCACAATATTGAAATTTTACGAAACTTTGTTTAGAATCAAACTGAAATCTTATTTTTTGACGGTTTTATTACCATTTACATGTATACAAAGTACTACGTGATTCACTTCATAATATAAGAATAAGTCTAGTAAGATTTTTAAATAAGTTCATCAATAATAAACGTGTGGTACCTGAAATGTCCTTTAAACCACATAATACAACATGTCCTGGGTTTAGTGAATACATATTTCTAGATGTTCTTGTAGTAACCAATAGGTAAATATTTCCAACAAATTAAGTCATACACATGATAAATATTATATTTATGACGAAAGCACGAGACTTAAACTTAAATTAACACTAAATGAAACTCAAAAACACTATTACAATGAGAATATTATCTAAAAACACTTAAAAAAATCACAAATACAAAATCCGTCCAAAACAAAAACATGTAAATAAACAAACATCCTACTTATAGATGACAAATGACAGGCGCGCGAAAATTAATTTGAATCGCCAATAACGGGCGAGACTCGATGTGGCAACGCTGCACCGAGTGATATCGACAAACATTATTTCGCTCTGCATGATTTGGTATATTACTTTCAGTCGTAGAATTTTTTATATTTTTGAAATACTAGGTAACATAATATTTTCTATTTAATTAATATTTTGAATTACGTATTTTTTGGAAATAATAAATATTGCATCTGATTTATTGGTTTTGAAGATTGTAGGAGGAAAGCAAAAATGTCGTTTCGGAATTATTCGAAACAGTTTTCAGAATTTTTTTTTCGAGTTATGATAATTTTTCAAGGAAAAAATATTTAGAGAAGAATAAAAGGTGGCATGAATGGACATGCGATATAAAAAAAAATATCGAGTCCAACAATCTTCTATTAGTTTCTCGCACTTGGATATACAGTTGCGCCACACTTCTGGAGTTAGAATTGAAAGTGCTTTTCGCCAAGTTTCCCGAACTGCGTCGTCACTATAACCATTAGGCCCAATATGGTTGTCATAATATCGTTCTGCTATTCCCCATATATATTCGATGGGATTAAACTGGCAATGATACGGTGGCAGACGTAAAACTTGATGACCGTAACTTTCAATAATCTAATCCACAACAAAGGTTTTTGGTTTTGCGTGTATATTTGCCAAGCGTAATAATTCTAATTTTAATGTATATTGAGGAAAAGGTATATGTTCCTTTGTCAACCATTCTTTAATTTTATCAACAGTCCAAGAATTCGTTGGACTTTTGTTTAATACTGAATGGTAAGGTTCATTGTCTAAAATAATTACGCTGGGCTCACTTAAACCTGTGAGAAGTTTTTCATTCAACCATTTTACAAACATTTCTGTGTTCATATTATAGTGATAGTAACTGGATTTTGATTTAGATGAAAATATTAAATCAGCACCTTCTATAAAACCCGATTTCCCTCCTGCATGTAAAATTATGTGTCGCTTCCCTTCTCCATCGGTATGTTTGATGGACTTTACGTTATCTTGCCATATTTTCTTGGTTGCATCCCTAGAAAATATCCATGTTTCAAATATATAAAATTCGCCCCTTCTTCTTGAAATTTAGAATATTTTCTTAGAAAGTTAATCCTCTTGTGCCCGACAGAACTTCTTTCACAAAGGGCCTTTCTGGTATCCTTTTTTTGAAATTTGAAATTCAAGTTATGTATCACTTGCCATAGACGTGTTCTGCCAATGTCGTCAAATTTTCTATCTATTAATTCCGAGAGAATTGTATTTAAGGTCACATGTTCCTTGTTGGCCCTCATTCGATAAAATGGTATCACGAATTTCAAATTTCTTTCCATTTGGAATATCTTTCGTTTTCAATGATGGGCTAGTTTTGCGGTGATCTTCTTTCGGTAGTTCACTATTGTGATTTTGTAATACTCCTCTTAATTTGGTTTCACTAATTCCTAGAGCATCGCATACGCGTTGTTGTACAGACATTACCGATTTTAAAGGACCGCCATTTTCTTTTTCATCCGTAAAATACTTATGTACACTACAAATTAGACTATCTACATCTAACACACGTCTAGGCATTTTTAAAATTTTCACTTAATTTACAATATACATACAATGTCAACACTTGCAAAGAATCAATTCAACTGCAATATTTGTAACAAATTTAGTACTTACCCTAATGTTATTTTAATTTTAATTTCTTGGGAAGAGGCTTATTGGAACTGGTTGTCAATGACTAATTTGCATAATTAATCTGAAACCCGCGTAAGTATGTACTTATAACCTGGCATGTAGTTTTTATACAATTAAAGAATTGTTGTATTAGGTATCTACCATTTTACTAACCATTAAATTGTTACGGTCAACTGCATTTATTTAGATTTATCAAGAACAATAAATTCCTCCATCATTATCTCCTGTTACAATATATAATTTACGATATTTTTTCTTTTTGTGTAAAATATTACTTTGCTTCGATTGTAATCCAAGTATATTTTTATAGATTCAGTTCTATAATCCAAACGTTCTATATTATTTAGTAATAATGTTGCTACAACTAATTGTTCATTGTTTCATTTCATAATATTAAATTTGAGCTTCTGGATAATACTTAGGTACTACTATAAGCTACTAACCTAGTTAAAACACGACTAAATAAAATTAATAAGAAAAATTAGAGAAATCTATGTCCCTTGTTAATTATTTTTTATCACGAAACCTATAAGTACTAGTAGTGGAAAAGTTGTTTTTAATTAATTAATTAAAGAGTCGTTCTAAATATACAGTGTATCATTTTCGAAGGAGCCATTAATAATTATCTCAACAGATTCGTCCAGTGATAATTATTAAAATATGATCTTCGGTGTTTGGCTAGTTTGCGATGTTTTCCAATAAAAACATGCCTAAATTTGAAATGTTGCAATATCAATAATATTGACAACAAAAGTACAGTGAAAGTGAGTCAACAAAATCACAAAATTATGAAGTCTACCCAGTACCCCAAGTCAAAAATGTCTCTCCCATTAATTGTTTGAAACAGAACTAAACAGAATATCTAAAAAATTGTACGTCATCAAAATAATTGTAATATTTTTCTATA